GCTTGCGAATTTGCCCTACAAGGAGAGGGGTCTAGAGAGTGAGTATTTCGTGTTTTGGTAGTTTGTTAGGGCTTGCGTAATTTTCTTTTGCCGATGTGCTTGGTTTTCCGTTTGCAGGCATCATGGGGAGGAACCTGTGGCGTGAGCTGAAGCATCGCTACAACGTTACCGAGCTTGATGTTCCCGAGCCCCAAGGGGAGGAGGTTGCCCTCCTAAAAGAAAGAGGGGGGAGAAAGAGGTCGGGGGGACCTCCGCCCCTCGTGATGCTGAGGAGGTGACCTCCAAATCCGCTGATGTTGATGCGGTGGATCTCACCGAGAGTCCGCCGTCCAAAGAGGCTCCTCCGGTGGTTACTTGGGAGGTGGCTCAGAGTGTTGAGCCTACTGCACAGGCCGCCAAGGTGAGTGTCCTATTTCCTTATTCGCGTCTTCTGTGTTGACTTTGTTTGGTTTATTGAGGCGGTATGGGTCCTCTTGTAGGCCGGGGCGGCCGTCACCGAGGTAGGAGCCCAGGCTGCTGAGCAAGTTGCTCAAGTTGCCGAGGTGGTGAGTATCTTGTCTCTTGGATTTTTCGTTTATCTTTTTTTATGCTTTCTGGCTGCCTGATTTTGGGGTCGTTTTTCGCAGGCAGGAAACACTGCCTGGATGGCAACCCCCGGCGCTGGGCCAGCCGCTCCCGCTGCCGAAGTAGTGGGCAGAACGCCTATCTTCAGTTGATAAAAATGAAGAAAGACGTGAAGAGACACCTCTATCCCCAGAACTGTACACAGGACTTGAAAAGCCCTCAAAAAACCCCAACTGTTAGGATGCAACTGGCAAGGAGCCGAGTTAATAAAATTCAAAAAATCACACTTGAACTGAGTGAAGGGAAGACAAACACCTAAATCCCTAAAAAAGCATAGGTACATATAGAAATGAGGAGGGCCGGTAGGTGACCCCATGTACACACCCTCTCCGGCCTGACAGGGTTCGAGCTGGATCATATGGGAAATGGAAGGGTCACAGACCCTACA